GTTAATTAATATTGAATCTCCCCCATTAAACTCTCATTTGTTCAGGGCAGAAGTATGAATGTTCTTTTCCTTTAGGTTTTAAGTCAGATGCATCTATTAATGTTCAGTTTTTCAAAATTAGTAAATTCACATTTACTAAAAATATCCTGTGCATTTTATCTTTCATATAAAACTGTTTTACCCTATACCCCATATTAAGCATTTCATTCTTTATTTTATCATCATCATATTGAGAGTAACAATATGTTAACCAGTAAACCATTTTAACTTGAAAACTTATGGTCTTACTAATCACTAATGATTTTCAATGCTTTCTTTTTCTGTTGTTGTGTTGTGTTTTCTCTATTTGTTTGTTTATTCCTTTAACATCTTCTTAAGTCTTCATGCTTAAGTTACCTTACTGTGATTTTGGATGCCATTAGGTTTTGTTTCTCGAAAATTTTTAATCAACAAATAGTATGTTGTGTGTTCTCTGTTTTTTCTTTTTTTTTTTTAAGTCTTGCTTTAATTTGCATGTGTGAGTCTTTTGGTTTAAATGTGCTAAGTTGATCTTTTTTTGGTTCCATTATTTATGTTACCATCCATTTAAAACAGGCCACTGTGGAATCTATCATGAGGGATAAGATGCCCAGAAAGGGAGGAAGATGGTGGTTTTCATGGAGGGGAAGAAATACCACAATCAAAGAGGTAAGCCTGGAAACAAACACCCAGAAAGAGCGTTTCTCCTTAGTTCAGCAAGTGTTGGTTTTCGTGGTGGAGTTTGTTTTCATGCTTGTACGTCAGAGTAATAAGCATAAGCCAGAACACCGAGTTTTCATTAGGCGGCTCTGCCACAAAGTCGGAGAGGCTTCCGAGAAGGTGGGGAAAGTAGAGGAGAAGGAGGGGTGCGCAGAGGGCTGGGCTCACCCCTGACTCAGTTACCTAGCTTGGAGACTGTGGTCAAATCACTCCCTGTCTGGAACATTTCTTCTTCTGTAAAAAGAAGGGGTTCATCCTGATAGTTTAAATTTTTTCTCAAGTTAAATATCTTCCTGCTGCTTGTGAGTATGATTTTAATGAGGTGTATACAGTGCTAGACCAGATCTTCCCATCATTTCACTTAAGTGGCATGTCAAGTATATGTGGCTTCAAGTTTCTACTCCTGTGAATGTTTATAGTTTTTCTGGATCTTTGTCAATCGCTCAGCCTATTTTTTTTCCAGGCCAGACATTCTTTTGTATCCATGTCCATTTGTCAGAGAGCCACTTAGGCAGACATCTCCACCGGGGCACATCAAGACACTTCAAATTCTTCATTTCTAAAGTTGAACTCACGATTTTTTTGTGAATTCTTCCTTCACTGGCCAATAGTCAGAAAATGGTGCCCTTGTCTATCCATAGGATGGACATTTCCTTTTTTCTCACTTCTCACATTCAGTCCATCACCATGTCCTATCCATTTACCAGCTTAAATATTTCTCAAAGTTATCCGTTTCTCTCCTGCTGCACTCCCACAATCCAGGCTACCACCATCATCACCGCTTCCAAATGGTCTGTTGGTATCCAGTCTGGTCCTCTCTTCTTCATTCTTTATACTGCAGTTGGCTTGATCTATTTAGGATACTGGCCCAGGTTATGTTACTCCTGCTTAAAAACTTTTAGTGACTTCCCAGGGCTCTTATAATAAAGCCCGATATCCTTAATACAGGCTGCAGGACTTGTGTCTCCTAGCCCTTGCCTGCCTCTCTGGCCTTGTCTGCTGTCTCCCCTGCCCTGGGTGCTGCAGCATCATGGCTGAAAGTATGCTCTACCCCAGGACTTCTGCGTGTACTGTTTTCTCTGCCTGCTGTTGAGGACCCCTCTCATCCGTTTCACTTAACTCACCAGGCAGCTGGCCCTTCCTTAGCAGGCTGACTCGGGCTGCTGCTCTCTGCTCTCAGCACCCTGCCCGTGAACTTCTCCTCCATAAATTTCATCCGTGTTTGCAGGTCTGTACATAGTAGTGTGACTATTTGGTTAACATCTCCTTTTCCACTCCCTACGCTCTGTGAAGACAGGGACCATGTATGGCTTTGATCCCTGGGTATCCCTGGCCCCCATATTGGACCCAGAGCAGGGGTTTGCCAAATGTTTGAGGGAACGCTGGTCACTGCTGGAATACAGGTTGAAGAAACTTCACAGACCGCAGTCAGGCTGGTTGTTGTAGAAGTAAAGGAAATGCCAGCGAGCTCAATTTATTTATTCCACGAGTTCAAAGGGAAAAAAAATCTGGTGCAAGAGTTTCATCAAGATAGAATTGTTTTCTGACATTTTCTGTGAACATACCTGGGTTTTACTTACTGTCCCATTATCTCCAAGGGGTGTAAAGAAGTTAGAGCAAACATGCTTTCTTTAGGAGACTGAAAGCATAAAGGGCCTCTCCAGTTACCTTACTAGAGAACAGAATGTTTTAGAATTTAGGCAGGAGGCTCTTTCAAAGATCTATTTATTGTAGACTGCACAGATGCTCCCCAGCCTGAATTGAGGGGATGGCAACATGAAATAAGGATCAGTTATGCAGTTATATATTTCTTAAAAATATGGAAATATGTTTATTTCAGATAGATATAGATTTCTAAATTAATCTAATAAAGAAGTGTTGATCATTGTGGCTAAGTTACCTCCATAAGTAGATTAAAAATTACTGGCCATGTTATCACATCAATTATTTGTGTGCTTACGAAAGGCTAAAGAGTATTTGGGAATGTTTTATACTCATCATGTGTTAAGACGGTCACTCTGATGTATTGTTTATGTCACTCACTTTCTTTACTAATATTAAAAACATTAACCTGCCTTCTGACCAAATGACCACAAGTAATGAGATTTAATTATATGTCCTTTGTCCTTTTGACACTTCTGTCTGGCCTCTAATGGCGTCCCATGAAGTCCGTGGGGCTGGCGGGTGTCTCCCAGCTCCTCGCCTGCTGTGGGCCAGGCCCTGTGTCTGCGCAGCATGTCCCTTGTCTTTGAAGTAGTGTTAGGCGATAGATGTTACCATTCCTGTCCTACAGGTGAGGGAACAAGGCTCTGAAAGGTTCTGTGACTTGTCCAGGGTTCCTAACTGAGAGGTGCAGGAAGGAGCCAGATAGATATCTTAGAATTGCAGGGCTCTTTCCAGCCCATCAGAGGAGGATTTTCTATGAGTATGCAATACTGGGAAAGAGACAATGAATGCATCCACATTTTCCCAAGCAAAATCTGGTGTGAAAATATTTTCAAGCATTTCTATCAGCATTTATAAGAAAATATTTTGAAAGCCCTTGGTATCCGAGCAGCCCTTGGTAAAGCATTTGCATAAGCTACAGTGATTATGAAGTTTGGTTTGATGCCACAAACACTTCGGGAAAACAGACTCATTTCTGTCCAAAATATTTCTCAGCTTGATTGTACTTCCAAGCAAAGAAGTAACTAGGACCTGCTGCCCCTTGGGTCTGTGCCACTGGGGAAGGCTTTGGGGGCACTGCCCTGGGCTTAGGGGAGCTGTCCTCGGACACCAGCTGTCGTGCAGGTGCTTCTCTTTGGTCCGCTCCTGACTCTTCCTTTTGTTCTTCAGGAAAATAAGCCAGAGCAGTGCTTGGATGGAAAGAGCCGCAGTCCCGGGGAGCAGCCATCACAGCTTAGCATGGCCACCAGGTACAGTGTGAGTCCACCGAGGCTGGAGCCCCTTTCTGTGTTCACGGTCACAGCACATGCCTGTTGATGCTGATGGGGTTCAAGGAACAGCACGGGCCTTGGACCCAGACAGACCTGGATCTCAGACCTGGGTTCCAATGACCTGGAGCAGTACTTAACTTGGTTTCCTAGGAATCATGTGGAGGCCGTTGCCCCTTAGATACCTAATTTGCAAAGGAAATGTGGAGCTTAAATGAGGTCATGGAACTAGGACACTTCACATGGTCTTGGCATATGATAGCCCGCGATGTACAGAGGAGTGTAGAAGTGACGATGACCATGATAAGCCATAGAGCATAAGCAGTGACATGAAAATAAGTCTCCCTTCTAGAGGACTCGAAGGTTACTTACCAGGACTTCATGTTGACATTTTTCTAAGTATTGATGTAGATTCATATTAACTTGGCAATGGGTCAATATTATTAGTGTTTTGTCATCAGCGTGTGGATTTGAGGGTAACTACTCTGAGGGCAATGCCATCACCCTCTAATTAATGGACTTGATAGCATCTAATAACACCGAATGAGCTAATGTAACCCCTTTTACATATTAACCCTGCCTCTTGAGTGTTCTTGTGCTTAAGAAACCCAAGATTGCACTTCTTGTTTAGCAGACAGGAAATGCTACTGTTAAAGGAAGGCAGGTTACATATCTTAATCCTTTTTGTGTCTTGGAGGCCAAGCCAATACCTGGCACATAGCAGGCATTTCATAAATGTTGTTGAGCTATTACTGAACTGCCAAAACTTTCCCAAATACTGTTGATCCACAGGAGAGGAAGGCTTAGATTTCAAGTCTTCAGACTCTGTACTGTAAATTATTTTTATTTCAGAATTCACTATTGGATACTGAGACCCATGTAGGTAGAAGGACGCATTTTGATGTCTTAATTGGTGTCTGCACATGGGAAGGGCACTGGATTGGCTTTTCTGTTCACCCTCCGTCTTTGGCTTGTTCTCTGGGGAAGGGCTTTCAGGCATGATTATGGACACTTTCCCCACCTGGAATTTTGAGTTTGACTTGGAGTGAGCCTGGGAGGGAGAAGGCAGGTGAGTTTGGGATGGAGCACCTGTTGACAGCGGGCTGTCTTCGGAGGGACGTGTAAAGCAGCCAGTGGATTTTCTGTGAGCACTTGTTCACTTATATTAGTGGGAGGAAGCAGGTTGTAAACAGTCTTTGGAGTCCAGCCCATCTGGTTTGGAATCCGGGCCTCAGGCACACTCCATTCCAAACCTGAGCAAAGGAGCAGGCGTGACATTGTTGCCCAGAGCAGCCAGGGGCCACTGCACGGGGCAGAGAGTCGATGCCGTGAGAGGGACACTGGCAGATACACTGGCCTGCCTGGCCTGAGTGACGCAAACCAGTGGTTTAGCTGTGCTGGAAATGTCCTGCTCTGCAGGAATTCTTTTGAAGGGCGCTCTCTGCCCTGGCAATGAGTTCCAGAGAGGCAGCATGAACAGGACATGAGAGCAGACATTGTCCGTTTGCTGTGTGATGTTTGGCCAATTCATCAGCTTCTCAGTGTCTCCTACATCTGTGCAATGGGGTTAAGAGTGTCACCAGCACCGCAGACATTGGCACATGCAGTCCTCACACCAGCTTCATGAGAAGGGAGGTTCAGATGCAGACCCCAGCAGAGCAGTGAAGGGGGAGGAGGGTGGCTCTGCGGTGATCTCGAGGACTCCCCTGTGCGTCCTAGCTGTGCACTTTCAGATGTTTTAAAATATACTTAGCAGTATGTCCAAATGCAGGTGTCTGCCAAGTTCAGCCTGCGATGCGCCCGCTTAGACCTAGCAGAAGATGGGCCTAAGTTCAGGTTTAGGAGGAACAACGTGGCGACAGCTGGTATCGCCTGGTGGGCAGGGGCCGGGGGTCCACTACTATTAATCTTCCCCTTCCCAGCAGTAGCCCTGGGAGCCCTGGGTGGGCTGAGGGTAGGAGAGCAGCACACACTCTGCAGCTTTCCTCGAAGCTGGAACATCAGCTGGCACAGTTTATTTGAGGTGTCCAGGATTTTCTTACTGTCTGAAACCCTATTTAGATATCGGCAAAATGCTCTTCCCGTTAAACAGAAGTAGTTTGACTTCACCTTTTCTGATTTAGTCATGCTGCAATGCTTTAGTAAATCTAAAAAATGAAGAATTGACTCTTGTGAAAAGGAATTGAGACTTGGAAAAGTATTAATATAAAGTTCTTTTGAGAAATCTAAATCTTTTAATTTTTACTGGCATTTTAGACTTTCAGTCTCCTAATTGGATTCATGCAGTTGTCTAAAAAAAGGCATTGGAGTGCTTTCCTAATTGACGGACTTGATTGACAGAACAGTCCCTGAAGTCTCTTAATTGAGCAAACAGCTTGTCACCATACAAATCATTAAAATACCATTTGAAAATTGTACACTGTGACAAGTGCTAACTTAGACGTTCACAGCTACTCGTCTGAACACAGACTTTCAAGCGAGATGAGCCTTTTTGTTGTGTTTTGTAGCTCCTTGCAGAAGCTGTAAAGCGAGCAGCATTTAATGAGCTGGTGCAAGAGTGGGGGACCACGGAGGGCAGTGTGGGGTGGGAGCTGTGTCGTTCCACGCGTGGCAGAGTCCACAGATGACCGTGTGGACTGGCCGTAAGCTGGAACTACCAGCTGCCAACTGTACAACTCCCATTTCAGGTTTTCTCTCTGTGTTTTCCTGTCTTGTTCCCTCACACATGCATGCTGCGTGGATTTAGCATGGTAGGTTTTTTTTAAAGCAGCAGATGGAATTAACCACTGTTCTGTCTTGCTCTGCATCATTCCGACAGAGGCACACATCAGTCTGCAGTCATTAAGAGCTTTAGTTCACATTTGGATCTCATTTCACTCCAAACTGTTTGGCTGGCACATAAACATTTTCCAATTCAATGAGGGGCCTGTAGCCCGGCTCCTGGGGTCCCACCCAGCCGCTTGTCAGGCCGGACTGGCTCCAGAACTATGTCCACCATCACCGGAAATCTCTCGGTTGTTGGCTCAGAAGAACTGGCATTGTCCACAGGATCCACAGGGACTGGAACTGTAAAGGGCTTTTGTGGGACCGCGTTGCTTTACAGACAAGCCACTGAGGCCCAGAGAAGATGCTCGAGATGTGAAGCCTTTGGGACTCATGTGCCCCAGTCTGGTTCTTTCTGTGTGTTATCTGGCTGCAGCCTGAATTTTTTGGTGGGTGGGGTACAGTTTGTTCCTCTGCATTTTAAGATAATGAAATCAGGGCTGAAAGAAAAGGAGGAATTTGTGCAAGGTAACAGAGCCAGATTGCTATGGGGTGTGAACCTCTCTGGTCCTAACCTCTGTGCCTCCTCTACCCTGCCTCCCGCCAGCCCACAGCGTCCTGGTTGTGGATTTGTCCACATGTAGCTTAGTCCCGCCATATACCAACCAGGATTCTAGCGTACCCACTCAGTCCTCTGCGGACAAAGCCACCTTTCCCCCTGGCTCCTTCCCCAGGGCTGTGTGCCAGTTACAGCCAAGGCTAACTCCCGCCCAGGCGGTTCTGCACAGCCCAGGCCCCCAGGCCAGCTGCTCCCATGGTGTCCTCTGCTTTCCTGTCACAGCACTTGCCCTGCTGTGTGGTGACTGTTTAGACAAAAAGCCCTGGGGAATGGGCTGGGGTGTTTGCTGTACGGACAGCAACTGGCACAGGGCAGGTAAGTCGTGGGTGAATGAGTTCCAGGTAACCGGCGGGCAGCCCCCAGGCTCCCTCTTGTGGGGTGGGGGCAGCAGGTGCTTAGGGAGGGGCACCTCATGCTCGAAGTGGAGAGAAAGAAGAGGCAGTAGAAGAAAGGGAGCAGTGTCCTCCCTGCTGTGTGCCCCAGTTTGTGGCTGTGTTGTAGGCGCTGCTTCTGGGATGAACACACAAAGGGCAGGAACGCCAGGGGAGGGGGGAGGAGGGAGGCAAGGGGGAAAACGGCAGGAGGACAAGGGGACGTGAGATGAAAAGGTGACACGGGGCTCCTGTGTGTGTGTAGATCCTGCCTGAGGGGATGTGCGGAGCCGGAAGCCCTGCAGGAGGCGCGCACCAGGGGGCTGCGATGTGCCTGCTTGGGGCCTCTCGGCCTTTTCTGCTGGGCCTCACAGACGTTTGTTAAGCACGTCATGTGGTAGTAAGACATTTTTAAGGATAATGGTCCTCTCAAGTAGAGCTAATACGCTGGGTTGGGGATTATGTCAGAGCAGGTTTTTTAATCGAGGAAACAACTAATTACCGATAGCCTTTATATGAGCAATTTAAAGAACGTGAGACTGCTCCCCACCTGTACCTCCCAGCTCCCCCTGCAGATGGAGAGGCCTGGGAGAGCGGGGAGCATGGGCCTGCGGATTCTGTGCGGCGAATACGGTGTCGCCCTTGCTCAGGGGGCAGCCTCCTTAGGGAGGAGGATCGGCGAGTCTTCCCGGCCTTCACGGGCACCTATGTGTAGGTCCTGGGGTGTTCCAGTTATTTGGACTTGTGTGTTGGGGGAGGTGTATGCAGGGAACTGGTCACTTTGGACGTGTGGGGATTTGGACTCCTTGTGCTTTGTCTGCACCTCAGGAAAGAGAAGGGGGTGTGTGCGTCCTCCCAGGCCAGGAGGAGTTCGAGCCTGCTTATCAGGACGAAGAGCTTCTCAGTTTAAAATAGAGTGATGAGGGCTGGTAAACAGGGGAGTGAATGAGGAGAGGCAGCCCCGGATGAATGATGCAAGAAGGGGATGAAACACCCTTATGAATGGGCATTTAGTGAGTTCATTG